TCCAAATGTGTAAGGCTATTGGAAACCAAAAAAATAAAGGAATGGGATAGCTATAATTGGATAAATTCGGCATATGAAAACACCAAAATCAATGATTATTTTCAGTGGCTGTGTGACCTTGTGACTGACACATTCATATGCAAATGACTAATCTGTGAAACAAACAGGGGCGGAGACAAACCACTCAAATGTTTGGAAACACTCATTGTGTGTCAGATAGTTACTGATAACACATCCTAACATTTCTTTGTCTTGAGTTTATCTTTGAAACTTATAGGCACACAGATTAAACCTGTGTTGTTGATTTTGGAAAACACTACTGAGGCAGCCTTGCTTCCCTTCAGAAAATCTACATTTTAACCAACTTACATGACATTCTATGTTATATTGACTTTATCATATGAAAGTTTATGGTGCATTTCATCAATTAATAAATAAATGTGAAAATCGTAATTTTCAACACAAATAATAGTCTGGCAACCTTAAAGGGGCACTTCCAGTTATTAAAAGCCTAATCTCACAACAAATTTACTTACAATGGATTACAAAAGATAGATTAACTTTGTAAACAACATAAACAATAGTGTCCCATGATTCTTTGGTGCAATCCATAGGAATGAGTGGTTCCCCTACAAGAAATGGGGAAATTTTTCTAAAAAAAATTGTCCATAGTCTATGGATTTATTTTGCATAAATTCTTTTATTGTACAAATAAGATTATATGAATTGTATATTTCCACCTTCCAGGTAGCTTTACATTGATTTTTGTTGGATAGTTAGCTGAAAAAACATGTTTTTCTTTTTACACATTTTTTTTGGGGGGGGGGGATTAATAAGCTTTTGAACCAAACTTGTGGCAACATGTTTTTCCATAATATAATTTTTTTTCACAGACAACTTCACAAAACATACAGTAATAAATATGTAGATAAGATTAATTTCCTGTATTTACTTTAAGTTTAAAAGTTTCATTTTTTATACTTCCTTAAAGTTTTAAATTTTCTGTTTCTTTTTCATTTATATAGTATGTGCTTTTTCCAATAATTTTATTGCAGCTTCTAATTACTTACTAGTGAACCCCTGATGTAAAAGGGTAGCAACAAACAAACAAACAAAAATAAAAAAATAAAATAATACTCCTCTGACAATACATGCACTATTACATGATAACTTTTGGAGAATTTCAAAATGACAAATTCATTCAATATATTTATTTTCTCTCTACTGCTATTTTGGATCTTATCTTGTGATAACCTTGAAAACAATGCAGGATGAAATGTGGCTGCCATTTCTGTCTCAATAATTACCTTCTTTTTCCTATTACCACTCTCCCTAGCAACAGTTTTCATCAGAAAAACCAATCTATCAACGAATATCTGTTGTCGAGCCAATAAAGCGCGGCGAATTCGGCATTGTCGCCCACCCTACAAAGGATACAACATAACTCAACATGAACAATTATTATTATACATCTGTCTCTGTTTCTCCATAAGTTAAAGCATGCCGTATGTTTGCGGTATTGCACAGTTTGAGGTATCTCCATCCTACCATATTAGAAGATGTGAAAACAGTACAACAATATTATGGACTAAAGCTGAATACTTCATTTTAGCTGGAATTTTCGCTGAAAAGGCTTTTTGGCTGTTTGTATGGAATTTATTTTCACTGATTTTTGATGAGTTGAATGTGAAATATAAGAAAAAAGTATATTCGCTGGATTTTATTTTCACGGAATAAACCCTTCAGCGAAAATAGCAAAAATAAATTCCAAGCGAAAATAAAGTATTCTACAGTATTTTGACCAACATCATTTTTATTCACAAACTAATCTGACACTCACTTTGACCAATGCTTGGCTGAATCTTTTCATTACGTTGATATACATTTCAGATGTTTTACTGTCCTTTGACATACTGTCTTGGTCATCACATTCCACTAACAAATACCAATAAAAATAACTTGCTAATGTGAAATTATGGCAGGCTCTGTTGATGAGAAACGTGGCTAAATCGCAGCGCTGAAAGAAAAAAGACAAAACAATAATGACCAGTGGTTTCAATGACATGAAAGGAGCAGGAGAAGCCTGATTCATCAGAGGGAAATCGGATACAGTTCTTAGAAAAATTTGTATTTAACCCCAAGGCTGAATTGACGCATCCAATCAATACAGGGCAAGGAGAATTTAGCAGACATAATACAGTATAGTTTCTGAACAGATATACTGTAAACCAATTTCAATTTCTTGAAGTTTATGGGCGAGAATTAATATTTCAATGAGATTTTTGGGACATGAAGTTTCAATGAGTGTTATGATATTACAGCGGACGCCAAAATAAACTTATCAATGGAACCACTATCTCTCTATCAATCTCTCTTGCAGCATTGCAATATTCATAGGAACATTGTCAGCAGTGTTTGTTGGAAAATAAAAACTCACATTTGCATTGAAAGTCTCAATATAATTGATGGATGTGTTTGGATGTAAAATAGAATTGTGTGCCTGTGCACAGTCCCTCTATAGACGGACTGTGGCCTGGTGATTAAAATGTGTGCAAATGCAGAAAACTCATTGGATTCAATAATTCGTCATTTCAATGTTTCACGCAAAATCTGAATCTATTTTAAATCTAAATTCATATATCCCATTGGAAAATAGATGTGTCCAAGAGCATTGGCTTGTTGGGATTATAATGTTGAAATCAAAACAAATACTGCTGGGAATGTTCCTTGGAATATATTACAATGTGTATATCCAGTATTTACAGCAAATCAATACTATCATTTCAAAACTATCTCGTTTGATATGATTTCAATCATAGGTCAATTCCATGAACATTTTGGGGCAAATGATGACGAAATTAAGTTACTTACCTCCTCTACTTCTAACATAATATCAGACACTTCAAATTTGACTGGTAACTGTTCATTTGGTGGAGATTCTATTTCAGATGACTGCGATGACTGTCTTGATGTAGGACTCACCATACCAGGGGTACTGGGAAGTCTAATTTAAAACAAATATTTTTTATGAGAATTATTTGGATATCGTTCGTGTTCCCCTGTACAGACAAGCTTTAACTAAACTCCGGTGCTCTAACCATAAGTTACACATTGAGACCGGTAGATATTATGGAACTCCAGTGGAAAATAGAACCTGCCAAATATGTATAGATGCTGTTGAAGATGAAACTCATTTTCTGGTAGTTTGTCCAGCATACAACCATATTCGAAAACCTCTTTTTGATCAAATTAACCGCATTGAACCACAATTCGAGTTCCTTTCGCCTATCCATAAACTTACATATATTTTTTCACAGGATAACCATGAAATCATCCAAATTATTGCAAGATTTGCATACACAGCTTTTCAGATTAGATATAATTTGTTAGTGTGAGTTCCCCAATAAATGAGTTGTATATGTATATGTGTGTGTATGTGTATATATATATATATAATACCTTTGAAAATCTAATCTTTTGATTAAATCATATCAATTCTTCACCACTAAAGATGTGTTACTGGTATTTAAGCTAACGAGTATATGTCATAGAAATAATCATGATTTATTTCACTATATCACCCACCCTCTGAAGAATACTAAAAAGCCCCTCAAAATAAAAGTTGAGACTAACAAAAAGAGTACCGACTATACACCAGTGTAAATCTGACTTCCTACCTCTCTCTGTCTATAGGAGACATGTCTGGAGTTTGTTGTTCTTTTCTTGGTGGTGAATCTAATCCTGCTTTGATTTCATCAAAATTCTCATACTTTAATGCTTGCACTAGTTGGAGAAGATAAAGCTGTAATTTCTATACAGAGAAAAATAAATTCACACATCAATACATTTAGAAAAAGTTGTCTAAACCTGATCGAAAAAACTAGATATATGGTACATGTCAAAATTAGTGCCCACGGCACTCAGCTCCAAAAATTATGTTCTTAAAAATCATGAAAAATTAGAAACCTTCATTTAAAATCTATGTGTTTGTTGGTATGTTAATTCAATTGTCGTTCATTACCTCATCCTCAGCTTGTTGTAACCTAGCAACTGCGTACTGTCTGACAGTGGGATTAGTGAACTGCGGAGACAACAACTCCAGTGCATCAACAAAGTCTATAGGTTGCCATTTACTAAGTAGATCCAGTGCTTGTTTGGCTTCTTGAGGTAATGCCCAATTTACACACTTCAGGAATTTTGTCAGTGCCTGTTTTTGGTTTGTCAAATAAAACCTAAACTTCCATACTAAATCATCCTCTTCCAGAGTGAGCGATTTTGTTGGAGGGTAGCCAACAATTACCTGGGTACAAGAAAATAAAACTGATTAAGTTCTGTTAAAAAACTTGATACATCTTTCTCCTCAAAGAAGCCTGTGCTTTATATTAAGAGTGAACAACCTTAGTCCTAACAATGATATATTGAAGATAATATTTGGTAATCGTAGTCCTAAATAACTATTAAAAATAGCTAGACGTTTCGAGCAATGGCTCTTTATCGATAGCATAGAAGCAAGTGTGATAACGTATAGGTAGAACATAGGAACGTAAGAACGCACATGAACTATAAGTTAGAATCACAAAAAATTCCACAATAGAACAAATAACGCGCCTTAGGTAGTGAGCTCAACAAATGAGTTGAACTGTTTGTTAATACCATGGAGTTCTTTAGTTCCAAGGCGGAATATAGTTTCCTCCTCGACACGCCTGAGCTGATTTTCGTTGCCATTGACAACACATACACCAGAAATAGACATATCTGTAATATTATGTCCACTAGAATTAAAATGAAGTGAAACCGGATAATAACGATTATTCTGTCTAGTTTGCCGTAGATGCTCAGCAAACCGATCACCCAGTCGACGAACTGTAGAACCAATATAAAGTTTCCCGCATCTAATACATGAAATGCAATATACAACATTCATAGTGATACAACTGAACGGATATTTGACCTCAACATCTCCCTTGGGACCAAATATACGATTAGTGTCTGTAATAAAAGGACAAGTATTACACCTAGGACGATTACACGGGACAGAACCATATTTCTCAGGGTCTCCCCTTTCACCCGTAATGCACCAATAACCTCCTTAAATTAGTGTCACGGCGCCAGGCAGTAGTAGGCATTAGTGGAAACGTAAGAACTTGTCTCCTCACTGGTCTGTAAAATGTGAAAATGTTTGTACATAATGTTTTTAATCCTTCATTTTAATTCTAGTGGACATAATATTACAGATATGTCTATTTCTGGTGTATGTGTTGTCAATGGCAACGAAAATCAGCTCAGGCGTGTCGAGGAGGAAACTATATTCCGCCTTGGAACTAAAGAAACCCATGGTATTAACAAACAGTTCAACTCATTTGTTGAGCTCACTACCTAAGGCGCGTTATTTGTTCTATTGTGGAATTTTTTGTGATTCTAACTTATAGTTCATGTGCGTTCTTACGTTCCTATGTTCTACCTATACGTTATCACACTTGCTTCTATGCTATTGATAAAGAGCCATTGCTCGAAACGTCTAGCTATTTTTAATAGTTATTTAGGACTACGATTACCAAATATTATCTTCAATATATCATACTTATCAGTCCAAGCAGCATTTATTTATTTAGTCCTAACAAGATTGGTAATGATTAGAAATAAATAATTGTTCAATGATATTTTCATGAAGTACCAGTCTAATCTGAATAGCCATTTTTACACCAGTTTAATTTGGACCAGTTATTTTAGATGAGTCTAATGTGGACCAGCCATTTTACACCAGTCTAATCTGGACCAGTCATTTTTAGATGGGTCTAATCTGGACCAGCCATTTGTACACCAGTCTAATCTGGAGCAGACATTTTAGATGAGTCTAATGTGGACCAGCCATTTTACACCAGTCTAATCTGGACCAGTCATTGTTAGATAGGTCTAATCTGGACCAGCCATTTTACACCAGTCTAATCTGGACCAGTCATTTTTAGATGGGTCTAATCTGGACCAGCCATTTGTACACCAGTTTAATTTGGACCAGTCATTTTAGATGAGTCTTATGTGAACCAGCCATTTTTACACCAGTCTAATCTGGACCAGTCATTTTAGATGAGTCTAATGTGGACCAGCCATTTTTACACCAGTCTAATCTGGACCAGCCATTTTTACACCAGTCTAATCTGGACCAGTCATTTTAGATGAGTCTAATGTGGACCAGCCATTTTTAGATGGGTCTAATCTGAACCAGTCATTTTAGATGAGTCTAATGTGGACCAGCCATTTTTACACCAGTCTAATCTGGACCAGTCATTTTAGATGAGTCTAATGTGGTCCAGCCATTTTACACCAGTCTAATCTTGACCAGTCATTTTTAGATGGGTCTAATCTGGACCAGCCATTTTACACCAGTCTAATCTGGACCAGCCATTTTTACACCAGTCTAATCTGGACCAGTCATTTTAGATGAGTCTAATGTGGACAAGCCATTTTAGATGGGTCTAATCTGGACCAGTCATTTTAGATGAGTCTAATGTGGACCAGCCATTTTACACCAGTCTAATCTGGACCAGTCATTGTTAGATAGGTCTAAAGTGAACCAGCCATTTTTAGATGGGTCTAATCTGGACCAGCCATTTTTACATCAGTCTAATCTGGACCAGTCATTTTAGATGAGTCTAATGTGGACCAGCCATTTTTAGATGGGTCTAATCTGGACCAGTCATTTTAGATGAGTCTAATGTGGACCAGCCATTTTACACCAGTCTAATCTGGACCAGTCATTGTTCGATATGTCTAATCTGGACCAGCCATTTTACACCAGTCTAATCTTGACCAGTCAATTTAGATGAGTCTAATGTGGAAAAACCATTTTACACCAGTCTAATGTGGACCAGCCATGTTTACACCAGTCTAATGTAGACCAGTCATTTTAGATGAGTCTAATGTGGACAAGCCATTTTTACACCAGTCTAATGTGGACCAGCCATGTTTACACCAGTCTAATCTGGACCAGTCATTTTAGATGAGTCTAATGTGGACAAGCCATTTTACACCAGTCTAATCTGGACCAGTCATTTTTAAATGGGTCTAAATCTGGACCGGTCATTTTAGATGAGTCCAATGTGGACAAGCCATTTTACACCAGTCTAATCTGGACCAGTCATTTTTAGATGGGTCTAATCTGGACCAGCCATTTTACACCAGTCTAATCTGGACCAGCCATTTTTACACCAGTCTAATCTGGACCAGTCATTTTAGATGAGTCTAATGTGGACAAGCCATTTTAGATGGGTCTAATCTGGACCAGTCATTTTAGATGAGTCTAATGTGGACCAGCCATTTTACACCAGTCTAATCTGGACCAGTCATTGTTAGATAGGTCTTATGTGAACCAGCCATTTTTAGATGGGTCTAATCTGGACCAGCCATTTTTACATCAGTCTAATCTGGACCAGTCATTTTAGATGAGTCTAATGTGGACCAGCCATTTTTAGATGGGTCTAATCTGGACCAGTCATTTTAGATGAGTCTAATGTGGACCAGCCATTTTACACCAGTCTAATCTGGACCAGTCATTGTTCGATATGTCTAATCTGGACCAGCCATTTTACACCAGTCTAATCTGGATCAGCCAATCTCAGACCAATAATCAGGACCATTCATTTTTAGATGAAAATTCACTTTTACTCTATACTGAAGACTCACATTAAGTTGATCTCTAGTGGCAGCATTTGGTTTCAAATCTCTGTCAGATACACCACTTCTTAAACTACGAGCTAATTTGTGATGTTTATTTTCAACAAGATTCTCCTAAAAAAAAACAGAAAATATTACAAGGTATTATTACACACAGAGCAGTTTTCCTGAGTAATTTTGTAAATGTTTTCACTTGGAAAGTGAAAATATGTGCACTACCATTCCTGTTGAATAGGAATTCTGCCCGAGTTGGAAAACCAACACATGACCAAATCTTATTCATGAAGATTCTTTGCCAGCATAGGCAGTAAATGATTGCTTTTTAAGAAGATACTTTAGCAGACTGATGATAAGATATATTCATCAACATATGTAATAGCCAAGATGCGTGTGTGTTATTTATTACCAATAATTTTAAATTTTCACAGTGGCTCAACATGACAACGCCACTGCCATAGCATTTAAGGTGGAAGCATAGTCATTATTTTGTGTGTTACAGTTAAGGTTTTGAAAAACGTGTCCTAATATTTCTTAAAAATTGCTATTTTTAGAACAATTCCATAGAACACAATGTTTCAAAATTGCATTTTTTGACACTTTTTAAAACCCAGATTTGTTTAAATAATTCAGAACAACAAAAAGCACTCCATCATTAGCAATATATGATTTTTTCAGCCTATGTCACCAAGCTCAATTTTTATTTATTTTGCGTAATATCTCTGCCATATGAACCTATGGTAAAAGTGTTATAATAGTGTCAAAATGGTGACTTTCCACTAAAATACAACCATCAATTTCTTGAAAAAAAGGCTGGTGACCCCCAACTTTTTTTAGGTCAATATTTTTATATTGCCTTGGAGTACAGTTTATTGCAAAATCCATAAATTCTGGGTATTTTAATTTATGAGTAGGCTTCTACTTTAATATAGTGATTGTCCATGCAGTCAAATACTTAGAGAAACACATTACAATTTAGACCTGTTAACTCTTACCATCATAATTTCAGGATCAGGTACTAAGACAATCTCTGCATATGGTTTCACTTCAACTACTTCATCTGCATCCTGCAAATAAACAAATCCACATTCTAGCAAACCAGAATTTGCAAACCTGTACATTAGAAACTCGTATACCGATATTATACACAACATTATATAGTTTGAGATTTCTTGATGTTTAATAATCAGATTGTAAAACTATTATCATTGTGTCAAGAGTAATTAGCCTCAGGCCAACTTCTTGGTTTGGGGATTTTGACTTCAAAATGTAGGCATGGACTGGAAGAGTGATAATTAGCTCTTCTGGGTCTTGATTCAATCAAGTGATAGGTGAGTGGAGTGATCACTCGCCTTAAAAAGTAGGTATGAATGATCCATTTAGACATTTGAATATTACCTTTTCAAAGTAAACAATGGTATACTCCAACCCATCAAAGTGTACTCTGGGGAATTCTACCATTAGGAACATAAAATTAGAGTTTCGCTTCTCTTTCTGAAAATAATGAAACATTTTACTTATAAATCAATCTTTTTATCTAGAATATACAATAATTTATGAAGAGTCACAAAACAACCAGGATATCATCTCAATCTTTACAAATGTTTTTTGTATTTAATGAATAACACTGATTTTTCGTGTAATCAACAAAGATGGTTCCAGTGATTTGATGATGTAGTTTGGCAAATAAAGATAATTACAATGAAGTGAGAGAAAATATTCAATCATCTAGTAGTGATTCACTACTCTTGCCTAGAGGAATCTACTTGAGCACTGAGAACAAAATAAGCACAAATGGCTATGTTCATCTTGTAAAAATGCCAATCTACCAGATGCAATGTCAAGTGAATTGAGGGTTTGGCATATCAACTGATATGAATAGACTTTGAATTGAAATTAGGTATTTCTATTTCACAGTGAAATATAAAAGTCAGTGGATGAATAATGGTAGAAGATGGTAATTGTGGGTGGAAGTATCACTCTACACAACACCACACTGATGATGCAGAACAAAACATAAAAATTCCCATCATCACTTGACATGGTTAGTACCTCATTTATCATTTCAATCTCCCTAAATGTGAGTCTGTCCAACCAATCCACTTTGACCATATGACCCTTACGATGTTTCTTGGTCAGCTTGGCCAGTTTAGACATTTGGTCATCAATATTACCAGTAGACTTGCCAGAGGTGGTAGTGGCTGTACTGCCGTCAGCCTCAGTATTAGGCCACACCCTCAGATCATGCATCCCCTGACGAAATGTGCTGAAAAGAAAAATCCACATACATTTGATCAAACAGGTGCAGTCAGTTGACAAATTTTGTTGATAAATTCATTGAAAGCGTTGGATTTTAACTTACAGTACATTGAAATTGACATGACATTCTAAACTAAATTAAGAACTAAATGTTACCAACAGAAATATGGTATACCAAAAAGATTACGATGACATTTCCATCATTCTCACTGAAAGTTGCTGTACATGTATATAAAATCATGATTATTTCTGGCAGCAACAATTTTATAAAATTTACAGTACGGTGATTTAAATTTTAAATTTATTTTCCTGCGAAATTTTTAATACAAAATTTTGGAAATTTTCGTGTATTTTTTTATAATTTTGGATGAAATGAACAGAATTTCACATTAGCTGCACATGTCTTGATCAACATTTTTGAAACAATGGCAGAAATAATTATGCAGGTGATAGTGTTCAAAAGTGGGAGTCCTACCATGTTAAAGAAAAACTTACCCATATTTTCCAAACAAAGAAACAGTTGTACCACCAACTGGTATAGCTTTCCTAGGGCCATAGAGATCCCAGATAGTTAGTGCAACCTACAGGAAAACAAAAACTGAATAAGTCTACTATTTATAATGGTGTCAGACTTTATCATTACCGGTATAGCCTGCAGAATAAAAACTAGAACAACATGAACCCTGTATATTGTTATGTTATCACTGTGTTAAATTAATATGAAAATGTTTTGTAATCTATATGTTCATGCAAGGTTTATATACCTGTGCATTGCGTGGTAAGTCACAGAATCTAACTGGCAGAGTCAACCATTCTGTCCAGCTGAAAGAAATAATATACAAGAAAATTAGTTCATCTATAAACAGTAAAGAAAGCAAGGACAGGCACTTTAGGCAGACATCAATGGGAATAAACTTATTCTACATTATGTCTCATATTTGTCATATTCTGTTCTAAATCATCAAATTCATTTTTTTAACCATCTGAGCTCTAAAGTCAACTTTTGTCAACATACACAAAATAGTTCTATATACTGTATGTGCATATTAATTAGGTAATTTGCATGTCATTAACCCTTTTAGCACCAAAGTCTACTTTTGTCACCATTCACAAAATAGTTCTATATACCGTATGTGCATATTAATTAGGTAATTTGCATATCATTAACCCTCTGAGTACCAAAGTCTACTTTTGTCACCATTCACAAAATAGTTCTATATACCGTATGTGCATATTAATTAAGTAATTTGCATATCATTAACCCTTTGAGCACTAAAGTCAACTTCCATCAGCATTTTTCACAGATTCTTTTTCAATAGAAAATCATGTCCATTTGGTCCAAAATTACAGGAAAAAATAACAAAATGTTGCACCGAAAAATTCTGGCACTCAGAAGGTTAAATATGTTGAATGAAATTTGTTCACAACAGATTATTCATATTGTGTATGGTTGTTGCCATTTCAAAATCAGTGAATAATAATAATAATAATAATAATAATAATAATAATAATAATAATAATAA